ATATAAAATATTCTTCACTTCACATTGGATGGTACATTCATACATTTCCTATCCTCCTGTAAGGTTGCCTGATTGACTCCCAGGTCCCTCTTTTTGGCGTCAAACCTTTCTGCTAACATCACTTTAAAGCTACCACGACAAGCCTTTTTAAACACCTGTAATCATTGGTGATATCATTGGTTTATACTGAGACCACTGTGGCAGCTTCAATCATCGATGTTAACAAAAAGATGAACAGCACAGGACCTTTAAATTCTTACAGACATCAGCTCAGGATGTCTCTCTTTTTTTTTTTTGGTAGATAAATTTGCACAATAACTTGTATACATGGTCCAGTCACGAACCATTAAATCCACAGCGCCACCTGGGGGTCAGCTCCCATACCCCCTCAAGTCCTATGTTCACGACTACAGAATAAATTAACACAATCAGCAAAAATCAACCATTACAATACAACATCACACGGACAATAAATGCCTCTAACGCTAAACAAAAACAGATTAAACATGAGAACGCTGTCGCCGGTACAGTGATGTGAAGATCATGGAGGGATTTATCACAGCTCAGGAACTCAACATTATATTCAATTTGAGCAAGAAGACCGACTCACTGATATGCCTACATGAGTGGGGCTGAGGAAAATTTTGGAATTTAGTGGTGTTTATTTGGAATAATTACAACCAGGTGAAAATCTAATGAAAGACTAATGTCATATGTGATTTAACTGGATTTAAACATCATTTGCAGCACAAACACTTTGTAGTTAAACCATTTCTTGTTCCTTTTACTGTAATCAGAAGCAAAATCAGTAGCTCTTCAACCCTTTTCTGGAATTTTGTCTAGTTTCTGTTTATTAGAAAAATTTATGAGCTCTTCTTGTTGCAAGAGGATGTTATTTAGTTTAAATACAAACTGCATTAGCTTGCTGCAGAAAACACACGAAATTTTGGATGTATAGGGAGATAAAATGTAGAAAAATGTACTTATGGATCCATCTGGGTAGTTTTTGGTTAAAATTTGCTGAAAGCCCAACCAAGTTACTGGAATAAATGTCAGCTTGTACATTTCTGCAAACCATGTATATGTGACATTTGTATGTTTCATATGTAGCAGATATGCTGAAACTTCACATTTTAACTTTCAGTTTTACCATAAAGCTTCAAATAAAGGCCTGTCTCAATTAGAAGCCCGGTCTGTTTGCAAAGTAGCGTATTTCTTTATAGAAGTTCTTTGGCTGTATATAAGTGGGTTGTTGGCTACCTGGAATTATGTGTCCATTCCTTGATACTTACTCTGTAAGTTATTCATATTCCTTTGGTCCGTGAGGGTCCTTAGATCAAAAGAAACAAAAAGGTTTTTGATAAAAATTAATCTAAGTTGTGAGTATTGTTTTAACAGAATAAAGTGGTGCCGTAATCCTCAAGTGTCGTAACTCTCTCTCTGATGCGTTGTCTGTCGGTGCTAGATCAAATGAACGATTCATAATTGAAATATTATCTGAAGCCTAATTTTTAAACAATTAATAGTCATACCAGTATAAAAAAATATTTTGATTGTATTCCCTGTCTTTGCTGAGCAGCAGTTATGTGTGAAAGGAATTAAAGACCTGTCCCAAATAAAGTCCCGTTGATTTCAGTGATTTAAGCAAATAATGGCCCAGGCTATTAATTGAAGTTTTATGATATGCTGTGTCACCACACAAAAACAACTTGGTTAGGAAAGAAATCATGTCTGGGCTTAAAATACCCAGTTTGGTCGCTACAATCACAGCTGGAAATGTCCCGAACTCTTGTCAAAAAAAACTCACTCTTGTTGTTTGTTGGTCTCGAACAATGGTCAACTGCTTGATTACGGTCTGGCCTAGGTGTCAAGTCATATGTATGAAACATACAAATGTAAAATGATGGTTTGCAGACGATTAAAATGTCAGCATCTTACACTATGAGCCACGACAGCGTCAAGCATACTGCCAAAAACTGGTGGACTTTTTCTTTACAGACTGCTCTGTGATACCTGGGCCAAATGTCTTAAAACCTGCAGAGGAAGAAAACTCAGTTTGTGGTTTAAACTGTCACTTAGTCTGCATGCCTTCTGTCAGACAGCTGAAATATATGAATCTATGCTAATAAAATGTTTCATACAGCGACGCTGTTGTTGATTGAACCATCTGCCAGATCTCCCAGTGACACTAAAGTGTGTTTAACACTTATTTACAGAAGCACAAGCATGGGAGAGAGATCGGAACATGGACATTGATATTACCAACCACTGTCTTTTTGTGTCATATCTCAAGTCAAATATACATAATAAAGGTTCAAACTAATCAGTAAGCTGCAAAGCAAAGGTCAGTTTTATCAATTAGAGGTCCATCAGTAAAATACACTATTTTAAGATTTGATGATTTGTCAGTTTTTGTACTTTAATTAAAGGATTTTACCTTCTCTTATAGGATGACAATACTCTAATCTTTTGTAATAATGGGACCATCTGGCAGCATGTGAAATTGTTGGTAAGAATCACGTGTTTATAAGTGACGACCACATGATGTTCTTGACTAGCCCAGGTGGGCTGTAATAGCAAAGTCTCACCACTAGATGTCAGTGTAGCCAAGGAAATAACTGCTGACTGGAACCTTCACTGGTCTCCAACCATTTAATGATGGTTCCCTACAGGTGACGGCCTCGGGACAAAGTTATCATTTTAATTTTGAAATAATTTCCTCAGATGAACCTATACAAGTCTAATCTCCCACTTATCACAAAAACTTTTCACCATTTTGGGCTACTTTCAATCCAAAGTTACACTAAATATCGAATTAAAGAGCAGGAATCATCCTTCAATCAGCGGGTAGTTTTGGTATAATCCTCATCTGATGCATGGGGACTTTACTTAAAGCTCTGTGACTATTTAAAACTCTCCTCTCTTGTGTGAGCTGCTTTTCCCTCCAACTCCTCGTTTTCTTTTTCAACAGTGAAGGCACTAGATTGAGAGACTAAACTGGATTTTATCTGGCTACAGTTGTGTGTGTTATCAGGAGGAATCTTTACTATAAAATCCAACTAAATAACTGACTTTGATGAGTGCATACTCTGATCAAAATGTACAACAACAATAACAGTTTGTATCAATACAATCACACACATCCCCCAATGTGTGTGTGGAGGATGAAGGGAAGAAAAGAAAAATCTCACAGACAGAATGGTAAAGCTGTTTTGAATCAGTATGGCTTCTTCTGTGTGAGTGTTTGTGTGAGGGTGAAACATTACAGCAAAGTCGAGTGTCTGCGTCTCCTCATAGAGGAGAGAAGATCCTACAGGCTGCCCTACGCTGGAGCTGGAGGACGGAGACAAGAAGAACAAGAAGAAGAAGAAGAAGAAGAAGAAGAAGAAGAAGAAGAGATACAACAGAAAAAGAGGGTTTGATTGAAACACAGGTTTGCTGATGAATATGATCGATCAGTATCATCTTTAGAGGAACCTTTAGGGTCCTGGGGTCTAAAAATTTAGTTTATACTCATCAAATGTTCAAATTTGCAGATGGTGTTTGTGGATATCAAGGCTCTGAAAAAAGGAAATAAGATACAGTTTCTCCACTTTAATTACCATAATCCAACAACATTATTATTTATTCTTGGCTTCAGGAATAGTAGTTTGCCAAAAGTAAGTATATGAATAGAAAGATTTGACTCAAGGTCCACTTACGAGCTTTTTCCCCAGAGCATTCAGCTGCATCTAATGGCTGAGCTCATCTCCGTACTCCATTACAGCTGAGAAAGCCGAATGAATGAAATGTTTTCAGCTCCACAAAACTGGACCTTGAGGTAAGATTTTTTGGTCAGACAATGACACAGCTACTTGCAAACCCTTATAATCGCTGATAATTACTTTTTTGTGGTGAGCAACAAATAAAATCCTGAGGGGAAAACTGCAAACGTGTAATTATTGTGGTCAAATTGGAAAAAATAGTTTCATATTTGAAAGGGAAAAACAGTCATCAGCTTGGACAAACCTGTATCGCTCAAACCCCAGAAATAAAAAAAAAGAAATAAATCCAGGATCCGAAGCCAGAAACTGAACTGTAGATGAGATGCACAGAAGAAGAGGGTTAGCTTTGTGTAAACGTCATGGGGAGAAAGTGAATTTACTGGCAGGTAGAGAGCTGGTGTGGCTGGTCGTACTGTGTCACACCCAACACTCAGAGGAAGGAAGAAGCAGTCAGGTGTTCAGGTAATAGGGAGGAAGCAGAGGTCCTCAAGTCCTGCAGGGCTATAAAAAGAGGCTCGGGTTGTGCTGCGTCTTTCCTTTACTCCCACAGAGACAACCGCGTGTTTTTATAAAAGCAAATATTCCTCTCAAGACGATGTAGAAGTAAGGTGGTGGTGGAGGTGGGGGAAATGGTGGCGCCAGCGTTGGCGCAGCAAAACCGGTTCCTATTTGGATATTGAAGCGGTACAGCAGAAGGAAAAAGAGGACGCGCGTGAAGTGAACGGAGCATCCTTCAGCTCGCTAAGTCAGCCTTGTAATTCCTCAGACGGGAGCTGCAGTTTTTCTCCCAAAGCTCAGGTCAAAAAATATCCACATCAGGGAGACGACTGCTTCAAGTCTGTCAGTGTTCTCCTTCACAACGAAAACAACAGCTGCAGCTGCTAACAACAAAAATCACTGACGAATAATGTAACAACTGGTCAGACCGTCCCTCTGAATGAGTCAAAATAACCAGTAGTGAGATAAACTGCCACTTGATGCAATGACATCTTCAGAGTACCACTTTGATAATGCAAGAATACTCAAAAACTCACAATACCTGTCTGACGATATCATACTTCCATTCTTTTGATGAGTTATTATCCGGCAGTAAATGTGTTGGTTCAGGTCGGCGTCTGGACTCAACCAGAGCTGACCATAAAAAACAAAAAACAAAAAACAAAAACTGGATTCTACAGCAAGAATTCATTGCCAGCAGACTTGAATTCTGTTTTGATCCCATTGAAATAAAAAAAAAAAAAAAAATCCCAATCAAGAGGCATCTGTAACCATTGGGGACTCCAAATGGCTAAACTGTTTTCAGACAGACAGCTGGAGGCTCAGGTATACAGGATCAGAGGTTCTCGCACTTGGGAAGGGTCCACTACTCCACTTCGTTGGGTATGTCTGTTTTGTCCTTCTTGATGACGGGTAGAGGGTGAGCCTCGGTGTTAAACACCCAGTGGTCGAACGGTAGGTGGTCATCGTCAGAGAAGAGCAGGTAGAGATACCTGAGGGAGACACAGAAGAACAGGCTTTATTTAACACACCTAACAGTAGCTGTGCATCAGCACCATCACACCTACGCTAAAATAAACTCTTAGAGACAGAAATAGAAACCCAGATATTGAGATTGTGATCATTTCATGGAGTACTCTCCATTTGTTGAGTTATTGTTTTCGTGCTCCGCTGTTTCACAGCTGTGAGACCTTTAGTGTGTCTGGCTCAGGAGTGTGTTTATTTATCACAACAACCTCTGCATGCATCTTTCCATCACACAAAGCCCTTTGGCACATAGTGCTGTGACACCTGTAAGAACCAAAATAGCAGGTGCAGTTGGAGACGCCCAGGTCTGACTGATCTGCACAAAAACCTTTTGGAAAGTTAAAAATAAGGGAATAAGGACTGACATTTTGGGAAAGAGAATAAAAAAATACTGCTATAAGAAAAGAAAAATAGCAAACATGTTGCAGAATTCTTACTCACAACAACTGGAAGATAGCAGTAACAGTTTTACAAAATATGATTTAACTAGGGGTTCACTCCAAATAAGGTTTTAAAGGAATACTTCACCACCCAAGTGACCATTTGTAAATCAGTTGCCCCGTGTTAGGTTGAATTTGTGAAGCAATCCTCGTTTTTCTCACGTGCCTCCGGTGAGCGAAGAATCCAAAAATGACGAAAATTCTTCATGAATTACGGTCATAGGGGTCAACCTTTTACAACAGCAAAACTATGTCAAAGTATCTGTTCACAAACACTCAAGTCTCTTTTATCCAGTTGTATACTCAGTACTCAGACTAGACTCACAAGTCAGTCTTTAGATGCTTTGCTTAACTAAAGACTGATGACTTTCTCCCTGATTTTGTGTTTAGATGGGCGGATACAATTTCAGAGTTTAAAAAAACTCCCTACGTTGCAGAACCAATAGTAAATCTGCAGGGCGGTCCTTCGGTGGCTCGCTGAACTCTTGTGCTTGTAAACATAGTCCCACTAGAAACACGTGTAGCGGTACAAAATGGCTCAGCCGTGCTCGCAGAAAACGCCGTCAAAGTTAGTGGATGTTTGTCGCGTTTGCGGCGACACATTCTCGCCAACTAAAAGAAACAAACATAATCTTTTACAAGGCCATGACTCATCCGTCCGGCCGGACTATAACGTTAGAGGGAATCGCCTTGTTGTTTACAAATACTTCCGGGTAGAAAACCAGCAGAGCTTTTAGCTAAATATATAGCCTATATATCACATTTTTCACATCACTGTATCACCGTTTGGACTAATCCGATGTTTGTAAAGTCTATAAACACAATGATTGAACAAACATTACTATTTCTGTGTGCACGTTTAGCTGGGCTAACCGTTAGCTGTTAGCCCTGTTAGCTGTTAGCGGTGTCTATAATAGGTAAAAACTCATTAAACGGTCCGTGAAAAAAATATCTTTTCCAGCGGATATCTTAGTTACAACATGATTGAGCTAGCAAAGCAGTTTTGTGTTGCTATGTGTGGTATTTATTCAGTTTTGGGAAATCACGATGTCTAGAAAGCATCAGTGGCTGCAGCAGCAGCAAAGCTATCAGGACATCATCTGTTAAAAGCCTCCCGTTGTCTGATACCACATGAAACTACTCCAGTTAGCTCAATAATGTTGTAACTAAGACATCCGCTGGAAAAAATATTTTCTTCATGGATGAGCACACGTTTGATAAAACGGAGTTTAATCTCTCGGCATCCATTTTCAAGCTCTCTGTGTGTTTGTTTCCTTGCAGATGAGAAAAGGGGGAGCGCACGTTTCTAAGAAGGCGTGTCCTTTTCAAAAATGCAAGAGGCGTTGCTTTGTTGCCGGCCGTTTTCGCCGGTGTGTTAAACACACTTTAGAAAGGAGTGTCCCCAGACTATCTGAAGGCGGAGACCTCTGATCGTCTGGTGGCGAGACTATACTCAGACAGCCCTTTCTGACAGACAACTGAATGGAAGGTGAAAACTTATCTATGCTCTTCAAAGCCAGACATTGACAAAAACAGTAATTTTACCTCGCTGAACATGGGAGCTGTTGGTCTACTGCTGCCTTGGTCAGTAATTTGTTTGTGTTATTGTGCAAGAGTTAGTTTAGATTCACCAAAGTCACACAATAACACAAACAACCAAACAGGCAGTGGCAGACCAACAGCTCCTGAGTTTAGCAAGGTAAAATTACTGCTTTGTCAATAGGATTTTAGCAAAAATCTATTTGTGTGGGAAGTACTGAGCATCCGACTGGATAATTAAGACTTGGATTATACTGCACAAGTTGTGTGAGAGTTTGTTAAAGGATGTTTTGATATAGTTTTACTGATGTAAAGCACGATTGCCTATGACTTTAATTAATCAAGTTTTTTTTTTGGTTTTTGGATTCTTCGCCCACTGTGTGGGCACAATAGTGAAACAAAGTTTTCTTTGCAAACTCAACATGGGGTGAGTTTTTGATATACAAATGGTCATTGGGGGGGTGAAGAGGTTAAATATCACTATTGTATAGTTTATAGTATAGTTTGTGTATATACATAGCCTGTGTACTGCCTGCGCATAGTTTGACAAAGCAAAACACATCTGTCATGATTTGATAAGGATATAAAGATGAGATTCGTTTTTTGAATGAATTTATATCTGTAAGACAAATATTACTGGTAATTAATTTAATATATTAGAATAGGTCTAGGAGAATTATTCATTGTACAGCTTTATACTGATGGGGCGCTACATAATTGACTGTTATTACTTTATGAAGAAGGGGTGGGAATAAAGTTTGTACTTCCTCCTAATTCTTTTTGGACATGTAAATCAAATCATTATATGCTGTTAGTAACGTGTTTTTATGTCTGTCTACTACTGGATGATTATTTTGTTTATTTGCTGCCTAGATGTTCGAAACAAACTGCTACTCACAAACTAACTACCTAATAGCTGAATATACATACTATAGTAGACAAGTGAAAGAACTACATCCACTGATGAAACATGCGATGTCGGTGCAAGCTAAAGAGAAAGCTTGTGAGTAGACTTTGAGATGTTTTGTGAAACTAAAGCTGAATTTGCTCTATCAAAGTCAGAAAAGTAAACCTGCTGCAGATTCCACCTGATCATCTGTTCTCCTGCAGCACAGACAATTTATCAGCACGGAGATAAAAACTCTTTCAACGAACTCTTGAGGGAAAATAATGTTTTGATTATATAAACAAGCCGAAGATGACTCGTTTTGGGATCTAAACTGTTTACTTGTTCAGTGTTTTAGATATTTCCAGATATTACGTTGTGTTCAGCTGTTGCAATATTTATCCAGCCAAAAAACAAAACAAAAAAATAAATAAATAAATAAATAAAAATTATAAAACAGATGTGGAGCTGAGAGGGAGGGACGGGTGCGGCTCGGGCTCAGACTAGTTTATGAAACTTGGAGTGATGAAATTCTGCAGCCCAATGTCATCAGATCTTATGAAACAACCCTAAAATAACATTATCCATAGAAAGAGGAGGGGTAGGAAAGTGAGTAAATAAAGTGAGTTTTTGGATGGTTGCTGTTCCACTGTGATCACCTCGAATTTCATCATGAAGAATAAGAGAAAAGATCAATATACAAAGAAAGCAAATGAGTTTTTGTTGAGAAAATTCAACTGAAGACGAGGGACGATCTGTGTGTCAGCCGACTAAAACTAATGTTTCAGCAGAGGAGCTGCTCGTCCACGAAGCCCTCAACCTCCACAACAAGTCCCTGTCCTCCTCCGCCTGCCAGCAAACCACAAGAAAGCAGTGAGTGATTGAAGGCAGACAGCAGTGTGAAGTATGGCCGTGTCCTTGGCAGCAGCAGGAAGATGGATACTGGAAGTGGCTCCGCACGGTGCCAAGATCCCCGAGTAACATTAGGAGGATTAGACTTATGGGCTTGCTGCTAAATGGGATTGATATTTTCAGGTCTGTCTCTGATACCACGGATGTGATGTGACTGATGAGGCAATCATTGTGTTGCTGTCCAGGCTGGTGGTCAATTACACTCATATTTTTCCTCTAGTTGTCTGTGGGAGGCTAATGAGACATTTTCTTTTTGTTCCGCTTCCCCTGGAAAACATTTTTTCATGCCTATAAAGATATTCATATCTCATTCTGACTTTGTCATGTTCAGTTGGATTTTTTTTTTGACACTGATCAACAGAAAGAAAATACTTTTATCTGCATGTCACAGCCTGGTGGACCTGTGAGAGGAATCCTGACATCTTACTTTGAGTGTGTTCAAGTGTGTGTGTGTGTGTGTGTGTGTGTGTGTGGGGCGGGGCGGGGGGCGGGGTGTGTGTAATCAGGAGTAGAGGTGAGGCTTGTTAAAATTTACTGCCTATAAAAAAAGCTGGATTGGATGGCACCTCGCCCCCATCAGGCTCTGTTAGGCTAACCTTGACTTCCTGTCAACAGCTGTCTGCTGTTGGGGGATAAAAAAAATGATAGAAGAAGAGGAGGAGAGGAAGAGAGGAGGAGGAGGAGGTGAAGAGGGGAGGGAGAGATAGAGGATGCAGGAAGAGGCCATAAAGATTTCGATGGAAGTAAAAGAAATGCAGAGGACCATAAATTTGGAGGAAGAGTGGGAGGAAGAATTCAGAGGCTTCGCTGCTGCATCACAAATGGATTAAATACAATCTACAATATAAGAAGAAAGATTTTAAATGAGAACTTAATTTATTTAACATATTATTAAACACCACTTCTGACATACAGGCCAGCTTGTGCACAAAAAAAAAGGTCAGATGTGTAAAAGTAAAAGGCTACATTGGGTTAGTGAATCTAGCACCTCAAGGTCCCGATCAGGCAAATGGTTAAAAAACGAGCAGATGATGGAAGTAGCTAAGGAGTGAGCCATCTCGTTTCCTTCTCATCTCTGTTGACAGCTGCACATGCTCAGTTCTAATCAAGCACTCGCAAGAAAATGGCGTGTTCAGTTGGGTGGTGTGGCCAAAACGCAAACTTTGTATCGTGCAGGTTGCTGTGAGTTTGAGAGCAAGGCGATAAAACAGTGAACAGTGAACTTAAGTCTTTGTTGTTTGACATCTGCCAACAAATAAAACACTTCTTTTAAGGGCAGCTGAAAATTGACTCCAGATAAGTTGATTTCTGACCCACTTTTCCGACCAGGCAAGTGAAAAAAACACATCAATGTTGAACCCTGGGTTAGTTGAACGATTATGACTAATTAAAAATCAATTAGAGGCATCGAATAAATCAATAAACAAAAAAGTCAAGCTCTGAGGAAGGCATACTGTGACACACAGAACAGTTGTGTTTGATTTAGTCAACAGCACAATTAATCTGCATTTACTTTGTAATTGTTGGTGATTTTTAATCAAGAATGGCCAAAATTGACTGATTACAGATTCTCTTCTGGTACCAATCGTTAAGGAGACATTCTTCTTGGGTGAAGCTATCCCTCATCACAGGGGAACAGCATAGTGCTGAGACATTCAAAGTCAAAAGAGAGAATCAGCCTCATTCTTCTCAAAAGAGCTTCTTTTGAGCAGCTTATTCACAAAGTTAATAATAGTGTAAAGGTTTTCAGAAATATTTGGGGTCCCTATCTGGAGATGATCGGTAAAGATGATTAACATGTCAGTTGATATCTCTGTGTCCTATCCTTGCTCTGTGTGCATTAATGTGTTTATGCTAGGTGGATGAACACAACATACAATATGACGTGGTATAAATGTTGCATGACTAGACATTACAACCTAGAAGAACGTGCGTGTCCTTTTCTTTTTTCCTTATCATTTTTCTTTTAATTTTGAATGTTGTTTGTACAGTTAAATCATAAAAAAATACATATTCTTCCTCTTACCTTTAGTGCTATTTATCAGTCTAGATTGTTTTGGTCTGAGTTGCAGAGTGTTTGGAGATAGTGGCCGTAGAGATGTCTGCCCTCTCTTTGATATAATAGAACTAGATGGCACTCTGCTTGTGGTGCTCAAAGCAGTCGTTCCAGATATCACAACTCCAAGGTAATCCACAGACCTTGTGAGCAGTTTCACGTAGGAACTATTCTCTTTCTACCAAACTACACCCATCAACTGTATCACTGCGCAGAAGGAAGTGTGCATCTACTGCTAGCTCACCTAGCACCACTGAGCTAGCTAACGTTACATGAGGCTCTCGTCCATGAGTAGACGCACACTTCCTCCTTCACAGTGATACGGTTGGCGGGTGCAGTTCAGTAAAAAGAAAATACTTCCTACATGAAACCACTCACAACAAAGTGTATTTTTTGGCGCTTTGAACACCACAAGCTGAGTGCCATCTAGTTCCAATATATTTGAGAGATGGCAGACATCTCTACGGCCGATATCTCCAACACCTTTAGAAACTAACAGCAAAACAATCTAGATTGATAAATAGCACTACAGATAGAAAGAAAAACATATTTTTGATTTTAGAGTGCACTCTCTTTAATACTTGCTGGTTTCTCAGTCTACTATAAAAATAAAATAGAATATTTTTGGACTTCTGATTGGACAGAACAAGATGTTGAAGACATCAACTTGTACTCTGGTTCATTTAAAATGAATGAATAAAAACAAATGCTGCAAATGTGTGCCTGTTATTTTAGTGTAGATGAATAAATAAACAAACACACATATAGAGCATGCACACACACACATTCACACTTGTTAAGCTGTAGTTGTGATTTCTCTTCGTGGTTTAAAACAGACTGTCTTCCTGAACACAGTTGGAGAGCCATCTGAGAGGGAAAGCCCTATTAGCCACCAGACATCACACTCTGTGGCTGACAACACATTTAAAGAGCCATTTGTAGACACACACACACACACACACTTACACTCTCACACACATTAACACATATAAACTCAGACATGCACAAGATGGCAGTTAAGTGAGAATATCAGGCGCCTATTAAGAGGAAGTGAGAAGTGGTAGCTGTCTGTGGTGCTCTGGGACATGTGGCGTTTCTCACAGTTTCTGTCCTTCTCTACTTTTTCTACTATTTAAGATCCATCCAGGCATAATTCCTGAGTACAGTATATACTGTAGATAGTGGTCGGTTGTTGAAATATGTTCTGGAGTCAGACTGGTTCATTTCGAAAACATTTGTGTCTAATTATTTTCACATTATTTATTACATGTCTCAATCATCAATCAAAACTCATTCCAGTTTAGCGTGGGTGGATTTCACCCACCAACTGAAATTAAATCGGTTCAAGCTGTTTTAACAGTACAATATGTGATGAGTCAATACAACATTTGATTAGTCCAAAAAGCATTTTAACAACAGCACCTCCATAGATATACTCAGAGGGAGAGGTCAGAGGTCAGAGCCTGACAGCGACGTCTCTGCCTGTTTTTGAGGCATGTAACATTGGTGCAATAACAAGGATGACATTGAGGTGGTGTTTTCACTGCAAGCATTCATGGTTTTCTTACCATTACATGTTCATTGCCGAAATATGCTGTATGTCCTCAAGGACTAGAAGAGTGTTTTGAAATATGTTGTTAACATCCGTCTACATCCTCCACCTACTCTTTTATTGACAGGTTTTTATGTCACAGACTTACAAAGCACTGTCCTCTACAGCTAACATAAAGGTATACCTTGTCAATGTGTGCTCCTGGTGTGCAACCTTCATGCATGTTGTGATAGAACATGTGACCTATTGCTCTACAATGCTACCAGTGGTGAAAAACTCCACAGGTCACCTTTAATAGACCTGAGATATAAATATGGTACCCCAGGGATTTTGGTTTACAACCCCTTAAGGTCAAGCAATGTTGTGGCGTCATGTTGGTTTGAGGGTTTAAGCACCATGTTATAGATTCGTCACCAGTTATTTATCATTCCCCATTACGCTCTCATTTACTCTCACATCTCTACTATCTACTGTCTGACAAAGACATGCAAATGCCCCTATAATACTTGAAAAGAAAAAAAATTAAAACAATATTTATTTGTAACTCCTTGTTTTAAGTTGGATGTGATTGATAGTTGTGGCCACTTTTCTCTTATAACGTTCTTAGATTGTTTGAATATATTTTAGAGGCCTGTAGAAGTAAAAATATCTTTGATTCTTCAAAAAAAGCCAAGTTCAGAGAAAAGGCAGAAAACGTTTTAGCATAATAATGTGTAGCAGAGCAGTTGTTATCTTTTTGCTTTCCTGTTAACCATCTGTTTTTCTGAAAGTAACGTTTTACATGTGTTAATTGTTTTTATAGCCAATGGGAACGGACTGTAACATAACTGAGACCTTCACCGACTTCCTCAGTTGCCTCTAGCAGCCTGCGGATGGACTTCTGTGTGCCGTGTCTTCCAGGAAAATTCAAAGAATCTGACGTTATGTGCGTTCTCAAGGGTCTCACCTTTCTTCAGCGCAGTCACAGCACTAAAAGTGTCCAACACTAGCTAACGATGCTAACATCAACAAAAGACAAGCACAGCAGAGTTCACATACGCTGCTGTGCCTGGGCAGAGATGGACCTTCAGTTCGGGCTGTAGCAACATGAATTCAGCCAGTCTGTCTAGTTTATCTTAGTCAAGTCAAGTCAAGTCAGGATTTATTTCTAGAGCACATTTAAAACGACGGCTGTCAACCAAAGTGCCATTTTTTTAAATCTTAGGAGCTACCGTCCACTCTCCCACTGTCTAAGTGGTGTCTTAGTGGTGAGGAGAAAGGTAGACCCACTGTGCGGTGCACGGAGCAGCTGATTTTTGCTTCATTTGTGGTCTGATAAACAGTAAACCCATCAAATTCAGCGCCCCACATCATAATTCCAGCCCTTATCGGTACTGGAAGAAAACAATCATAACATCAGATGAAACACTGACATCAAATACATCGTGATATTGTAGCTCTAGCTGGCTGTTGTTTGCTTGTTAACACGGACAAATTGCTAGCTAGCTAACATAGCTAAATACTGCATTGAGTGGATAATGTTAGCTAATTTATCCAGACTCCTGGGGCTGGTTTACAAATTATTTCATCAACTACCATTAGGGAAGCAACCAACACCAGATCCATGCAGTGTAGCTACATCATAGCAAGCTGGCTAACCTTAGCTTGCTTGCTCGCTAATGTAATCTGTTGGCTAATTAATTATCAATTTACCACACCAGCTAACGTGATCCAGGATACTAACTAAGATGAAAAAAGATGTAATACCAAGCAAAGGTGTATTACTAATAATAGTGTTCTACTAGCCAAGAGTAATGCAAGGCAGGGGCAGCTAACTAGCTAAGGTAACCTAGGCTAATAATGTGATATGATGACAAATTGATCTTCAAACATACAGATTTTCACCAGATATATTAAACAGCTTCAATCCACAGATGACAGACAGCTGTAAAAGTCTCTTTTAGATTCACTCAATGTGTGAGTGTGTTTTACAGTAACCTTGCCAAAGCTCCAACTCTCTGGAGCTTTGTCTGAATGAATGACAACATCATACTTTATGTTTGTGAGTGTGTGTTTGTGTTTGTGTGTATGACTGGGGATGCAGGGGCCTTGTCCCTCCATAAAGTGCGCTGACAGCACAATCATAAGAGGACAGAAGTGGAGGCTGTGCGTATAAAGATGCTCAGTTTGTGTGTCTTACTTGAGTGTCTCGGCCAAGTAAAAGCTCTGCTGCACGTCGTCGTGGTTGGGAGATGAAGAGTAGACGTCTCTGATGCCGCTGTAGCCTCCTTCTACTTTACAGTGCTGCTCCAAGGCCTAAATGAGGGACGGTGATAGAGATACAGGACAGGAAGAGAGAGAGACATCAGTGACTTGCAACATCAATCAAGCTCTTTATGTACTTAAAATATCACTAAACCTCAGGGTGGATATTTGCTAAATATAAAAACAAGTTAAATAAACTGACCTCTTGTGAGCTTCCTTCCTGATTTGTGTTGTTTTTAAGAACATTTGAAAAACTGCCAAATAATTCAGTGATAGCTTATGTGCCTTACATTATTGACAGAAAATCTAATTGAATTCCACTTGCAGTACAAGAACATTTTGGTCCAAACTGCCAGGCTCTTGCTAAACACGCTATGACAAGAAGCAGTTTTTCAATTCAATTAACAGATGTACCTGAACAGCCTCCCAGCCCCACTCCCTGTATTTGGGGTCGTGGGTGAACCTCCACATGTACATGTAGGTCTCTATGACCTCCGGACGGAGGATGAAGTATTTCTCATTCTGGCGGGTGGCGATGGCCTCGACTCCTCCATCGAAACGGAACGCCTCTGGGCCCAGCTTCAAAGCTAGAGAGGAGAAAATATTGTAAATGTAAAGTGTGCAGGTGTAAGGATTTTGAATTGTGACTGATTTTCTAACCTTTGACTTTATAGTTTATGTTATTAATATTCATCCATAATGCTTCCCTATTTTACTTGTTTTACAATTTCATTTGATAAACAATGTTGAAGTGGTGATGTTGCCTTTAAAACATGGTGACTGATGTGAGAAAAAAAGGATAATTAGATTGAAGATGAAAAATGGCATATGGCTGTGATTAAAATAAAAGACTTTTCAATAAGAGCACTTGTCTGTGAATTTACGCTAATCTGATGACAAGTGCAGCATTCAAAAATCTGACATCCCTACTTAAGAGCAGATGCTGTCATTGTAAGAAATGTAACTTGAAAATACAATGAGAAATAACTTTCTGAAATGAGCAATATGGCATAGTTCAGTATTTAGAAAAATTCGGTTCCCAGTAATTATTCCATCCAGCAGCTGTCCATCTGGATATTAATATGACTCTTTAAATAAGACTTAAACTATCATTTCTAATACATTTTGATAGAATTTTTTTTTTTGGGACTACAAAAAATGACAGCAATAAACTAAAGAAAATGTGACTGAACTCTTAATCCAAACTGGCTGTCAAATTTAAAACCAAAGTGATCAATTAAATGGGAAAACAGGAATCATTTCATCATCTTCCGTGTGTACATTTTTACCTGTTCTGGCGTAAGACTCATGACAGGTCCGGGCGATCTCAGCAGCCTGCTCCATCTGGTGGCCCGTCTTGTCGCTGGGCGCCCCATCAGCACCCAGAGCGATCATGCCGCCTGCGAAACAGGTCAGGTGACCCATCTTATGCTCCAGCAGCCCTCCCTTCCACTCCGCTATGTAGGTCAGCCCACCGCTCGACTTCCTCATCAGGTTGGTTTCTATTGCCTGAAAGACAGTGGTGAAAGGTTTTATTGGCTGAATTAGGTTTGATCCTTACGTCTGAATCATACATGTGATGATACAGACATGAGTTAAATATTTATCCCATAACCTGTGATCATCCTCCTTTCATTACCAGGAAAATCTGAGAGTAGCTTTAGAGATAACTATTGTAAAATTCTTTGTATTGCAGCTGCACCTGTTTCTCCATTTCAAAGACAGCTGGTTATTATAGTTGCTTTAAAAGGGACCTATTATGGCTTTTCTTTTTTTTCTGTTATATGTAATGTGACAGTGTGAGATGTTCATATGAAACAAGGCCAAAGTTTCAAAAAATGAGGAGCAGAACCCTCACACTTCAGACCCTCCTGAATACTTATGTCCGCACCTGCTCTAGGCACACTACTGCAAGTGTATGCATTATGTAGCCTACGCTGCTACATGTAGCTACATGCTAAAGTCAGGGAAACATGTAATCTTGGCTGCCAATGTTATTAATTTCCCCCTGATTTTGGACCTGCTAGAACATGTCCAGTTTTATTTAAATACTTTTATTTATTGATTGATTTTTAATGGGAGAGACTGCTGTTACACACAGTTATTCCTCGGCTGAAAGTGCACTGCTACATGTAGCTACATGCTAATGTCAGGGAAAGGTGTAGTCTTGGCTGTCGATGTTGTTAATTTTCCCCTGATTTTGGATTATATACCTGCCAGAAAATGTCCAGTTGTCTTTAAAAACTTTTATTGATTGACTGATTGATTTTTAATCGGAAAGAGTGTTGCTACACACAATCATTTCCCAGCTGTAAGTACGCTGCTACATGCTGACGTCAAGATACACAATCTTGGTTGCTGACGTTGTTAGTTTCCCCCTGATTTTGGATCTCATTCCCACTGGAACAAGTTTAGTTGTAAAGATTTGGGTTAAGAAGCTTTTATTGGGGATTCTTCACAGTAGGAAGTGCGGCTATTCACTGCTACAGTCATTGTGCACCTGCAATGACGGTCAAGATGCGGAAGACGTGGATACACTGACCAATCAGAGCAGACTGGGCTTTTTCTGGAGGGGGGCTTCAAGAGACAGGTTGTAAAACAGAGTGTCTCAGACAGAGGGTCAATACAAATGTTCCAGCACAGACAATATGAGGGAAATGCAGTGTTCTTTGAACATTAAATCATGTAAACATCTTCTAGTAGACACTTAAAATACAAGTATGAACCTGAAAATTAGCATAATAGGTCCCTTTTTACTTAAATAGAATTAAACTTATTTTACCTTTAAACCAGCCTACGATATATACCATTTACTTCTTTTACTTTTAAGATATCTGCTACAACCTTGATACAACAAAGCTTAATGGTGCTTGGTTTTTGTGGCTCAAAGCAACAATCTTTTAAAGCTGAACAGCAACAGTTGTTTCCAAATATAATGTTAAGTTACACATTTCTTGTTGCTACCAGTTTGACAATCATAATTTCAGCTGTCTATCTAACTTCTATGTATATATACAAACAATTAAAATGTATATATGTGTGCTTGTGACGTGAATTGTTTCATTCATAAAGACAAGATGGCTTCCTTCTACACATGTTTGGATTGGAGCACAAGCTTCAGAACAAAACACAGATCTGGAGGACACTGTTCACCACAAGGTCTGTGTATTATTACAGGTAACCATTGCTGCAAAGACATGATGACTCTGGATATATTTTGGGTGGCTCAGACAGTATAGAGCTGCCACAGGTTATCGTATCAGTGTAGTGCTGTGACTCAGATATTCACCCTGTTGCTGCTCTCTCTCTTCCTAGGATTCTTCTTGGCAAATAAATCAAGAGCGCCTATAATCCTTGGAGATCTGGAGGGATTATGGGTAAAGTATCCCTGCATGGTTAATTCTCTTCTTATTTCAGTCGCCACATAATATATTTGCTCCCCAGCGTGTTACAGAAAAACAATTGGAGAGTCAGCCCTCTCCAGATGAGACCCGTCGCTTGTCACCACGACTTAAGTTGACAATTTATTTAAACAGAGAAAAGCATTCTGCATGTGTGTGTTGTCTATCTATTCACTTTAGGAGGCTGTAGATTCATCTGCTCCCTGTCTTTGTCTTCTTATATGAAAGTGTGTTTTTCTTTGTCTGTGCCACCATCTCTCCGTCTGCTCAAACTTACTATCTGGCTCCAAAAGATTAAAGAGGAAACACTGAATATTTGAACATTTTGGCACAGCAGTGGTCCAAGTGAAAGACAGTGAACACTTGATCACAAAATTACCACTTAAAGCAAAATAAAAATCTCCATAAGTCAAACAAACCTAATTTAGTCTAACACCAATTACAATCGTAGTCACCCCAGAAGGAATTTATGGCATTAAAACGCTCATCACTTAAATTATTCCTTTTATTATCTCATGTGCAAGAGCTTCAAGGTTATTTTGCCAACTAGATTCCGGTAATATCCCCCCTGCAGGGAGAAATAAATACAACAGCAAGACCACTTTTCAGGCATTAGAGCTGACCTCGTGTTTGTTGTCCACTATTATCACACAGCCATTTATTATGACTCCGAGGGTGCATGAGGGATGCAAAATCCTGTGGAGAAAATCCATGCAGCTTCCCATCTGTAAACAGCATGTTCAGAGCCTGATTTTGGCCACTCAATGACAACAACTTCCAGTTAGAGGTCACTGGCTATGTATTATGCATTCATAGTTTCTAGTGGCTGCCCATGTAGAGTTTAGGTTTTCACATATTGATACGCTGAAGCTGAAATTGAGGCAACAGACCAGTTCTCAGTGGGAGAAGAAGTGCAACAGATTGGAAATTACAGCCCATAGAGATCAGTGCTGTAACATGGTGTGATGGTTGGGACAGATAAGGTGCTTCAACCCCATTCACAGATGGTGCGTTTAGGGACCTGCAGACAGGTGACGTGATGGTTTCTGTTTCAGTGGTACAATTACAGCTGCTAGAAAATAAACCCACAAACTGATTTTTTTTTAAAATTCATGTTCAACTGACACTAAAAGTTTTTAAACCTTTATGTACTCTCTATCAAAAGTTAGTATTCGAATTGGTTTATTTGTTTTGTGCACAATACTATAAGTCAGACGCACAGTTAGGAAGCTCACCCTCTTTAGGCTAACTGTTAATATGGTACAGCTGACTTTCTGTAGACTGAGGATTAGGCTGAAGAGGCTGAAGAAGAAGATGATAAAGAAATGTAAGAAAGGAGAAGATGTAGCTGAAGAAAAAGCTGAGAGAGTGGAAGCTGTAGAAGAAGAAAAAGAATAATAATAATAAGAAGAAGCTGAAGAAGAACAAAGAGAGGAAGCTGGAGAAGAAAAAGCTTAAGTAGAAGAAGCTGAAGGAGAAAAGGAAGAAGCTAAAGTAGAAGAAGCTGTGGAAACTAAAGAAGAAAAAACTTAAGTAGGAGAAGCTTAAGGAGAAGAGTAAAAAGCTGAAGTACAAGAAGCTGAAGAAGAAGAAAAAGCTGAAGTACAAGAAGCTGAAGAAGAAAAAGAAAAAGCTGAAGAAGAGGAAGAAAAAGCTGAAGTAGAAGAAGCTGAAGAAGTAGCTGAAGAAGAAAATTAAAAAGCAAAGTAAACTAAGCTGAAGAAGAACAAAAAGCTGAAGTAGAAGAAGCTGAAAAGGAAGTGGTGGTGGTAAAATGTGAAGTTTGACTTTAACTACCTGACAATAATTGTTTGGCACAATGTCCATTACAGTTAAAAGCCCAAAGTGACACCAAATATTTCATTTTGTCTGACCAACAGTTTAAAGACATTCAGTTTGCCATCACATAAAACAGAAAGGCAGCAAATCCTCACAAGACATAGTCTGAACCAGAGAATATTTGGGATTTTTGTGTGAAAAACTGATTTATTAATTATCAAAATAGTTGCAGATCAACTAATCGTTGCAGCTCCAGTGAGGTCTATGAGTGGGTCTAAGAATAAATCTACCTCCTGTTTCATACTCCAAGAGTCAAAGTCACCTTTAGACTTATTGAAGAGATTGCGTGTGCATGTGTGTGTGTGTGTATGTATGTACTACCTGCAGGGCATCATAATACATCTTCTTGCCCTCCTCGTCAGTCTTGTCAGACATCAGCCAGGCCTTGAGCAGGTACTCATAGAAACTGTCGCCTAGGCCACCCACGGACACATGATCTGCAACACACAGATAAAGGATTATAACACACACGCACGCACAGGCCTCCTATATGTATGCTGTTTGATACTGCAGCTGTTGGACCATCCATAGATCACCCACACAAGACACGGGGTGAGATACATGTGTGTAATATATAAACGGGAAAATACCTACAGTCTGTGATATACTACAGGGTTATGTGCATGCATGTGTGTGTGTGCGTGTGTGTGTGTGTGTGTGTGTAAAGGGGTTGTTATCGTAGATGAGCCTCCAGCCAGCTGAGCTGTACTTTTGTGTTTGCCCTCCTGATTGTCAGTGAAGGCTCATCCATATGCATGTGTCATTAACAGAGTCCAGCCCTGTTTGTGGTGTGCAGAGATTAAATGTCAGCTGTGATCATCTTGAAGAGAAAAAAATAAAAAGGAGCCAGGTGGTGAAGACGGGTTGGTTTTGAGCCAATAAGAGTACCTGGCCTCCTGCAAATATGATATTAAAACCAGGAATAAGAACACTGTGCGATCGAGAGAGATGACACAAGCTTAACATACAGTAGAGCATCTGCTAAACAAAACAACAACTGTCTGATGATAAAGCAATTACAAATTCATGTACGAATCAGAGATGTCAGTTTGTGTTAATTTTGCTTGATAGCCTGACACCAATTAACAGCTAACTAACCAGTTAATTTTCAAGGAAAAAAAAAAAAAAAAAAAAGCAAATTGACATGAAATTTAAGACGCCTTTACTTTTAGTTTACGCTCCACTGACTCAGTGAACTTTAGCATCACATTTCAAAGCACTATCCATTCAGAGGTGGTAAAATTTTAATGTTTTGTGATGTAAATGTCTTGCCTTTTATTTTGTTTTTTTTTTGTTGGCTTTACTGACAGACAGCCATATTAACATGCAGAAACAGTGCCCACTGCCCACTGTCCAGCCTCTACTGGTTAGCTAACTGGTTACCTAATGTGCTTATTGGTGATTACCACCACCTGGTTGCTGCAGAAACATAGTAGCCACGTTCTACTGGTTAGCAAACGTTAGCCTTGGTCATACTGCACTGCATACCATCCGAGTTGGGTGGGAGCTAGCTGCAGAAACATAGTAGCCACCCTCTGCCCTGGTGAGTAAGCGGCTTCTTTTTGAGCCGCAAAACCCCTTTTGGATTTTTAACTTTGTTAGCACCACTGGCCGTGCTGACAATGCTAACAGAGCTAATGCTAAAGAAGGTTCACAGCTCAAATATGAGCCACTTAATGACCAGGCCGACTTGGGAGGGGACCAGAGGGCGGGTACCATGTTTTCACAGCAACACAGTTGGGTCAGGACTGTATTCCGAGCAGTAATTGCCAAATAAGCAATGCAGTACACTGTATCCTATCCAAACATGTTAACATAGCAGCGGTTTGGATTAAACATAAAAAGTTGAAATATGACGCCGACTTCCATGTATGCACCGTATGTGAAAGAGACAGGGTAAGCAGTTCTGTGAGGCTGTGTTGGAGAGATATTTTTCAAACAACATTAGGCTGCAAACATCCCTAGGTCATAATTTATTTAACAAATGCATTCCCATCACTATTGCATAATGTCTTTCTAGATGAAAAACCCTCTCTGCCTAAGACATGCATGAAAGCTTTTTGTGTGTGTGTGTGTGTGTGAAGACTTTTTTTGTTGTTGTTGAAACTTGCTGTTTCTATTCAGCATTCCTAATTGAATATGTCACAATTTGCATAAAATACTTGGATGAAAACAGAGTTACTGGCTCTGGTTAAGAGTGTCAGCTAAATGCCAACAATTATAACTGTGGATGTGCTTTCAGTAGCTTTATTCAATGTTTTATGCATTAGATAATAAAGTAAGTAGACCAGAGGTGCAGGTCCGTATTTAACCATCACAGATACTAACAACCCTCCAATCAAGGCCTGGGTATCAAAAACAATATCAGACAGACTCTAATAAATTCTGAAGCATAGCAGTGGATATAAAAACTAAGTAATAAAACATGATCAAAGGATTTCTAATTTCATGCCACAACTTTCTTGTGAAAATCAAGACAAAATATGCCCTGATTTAATGTAGAACAGCGTCTAACCTGAACAAACATGACACCTTTGCAAGGCGAAATGGATATTAAAGCATATTAAGCATGAAAAATAATTAATTTTCACCCTTTCAAAACTGAAGTGCTCACAAGCTGCAAGAAACTCTCAGCACATCCTAACAACCTCAGAGACACTACTTACTTTTCCACCTCTGCATGTGTCCTTTCCCATGACTCAAACACCACAGTCTCCCAACAATGAATTACTAAGAACATAATGTGTCTGTACTATTTTGTATGCAATATACTGTTTCATACAAAGTCAGTTTTTAATCCATTGTTAGTATAATTTGCCTAATCTCTGCAGTTCTTAGTAGGTGGCAGAAATGAAAACACAGCAGGCTAAAGGATCATTTTTTCTGATGTTCCTCATGTTGTGTTCAGGTCCTGGGGCACCATACTTCCTGGCACTATTTGGTAAAAATTGCCCACTAAAGACCCAGAAATTGGTTTCAGGAAAATTGGACTTTCATTTGACAGGGGATGAGAAATATCACTCATATGTTACTCTGCTAACAGTCTGGGTTGCCATGTTGAATATGTATTGGGCCGTGAGCTTGCCAAAAGATTTAAGGACTAGTTTGACAATTTGGGAAATATGCTTATTTTCTTTTATGCCGAAGATCTACAACACTCTTAAGTTGCTGGAGAATATCAATACCATTCTTATATCTATATCTGTATTTTATATATGAGCCCAATACCAAAAAAATGGTTATCTTAGCTTAGCATAAAATGTTTGTGTGAAGTTCCTCTCTAGACATTGATTAAACCCCTAAAATCTCACTTCTGTTGATAAAAATGACTTAGATTTAGAAGTTTTATCTATGAAAAATGCCCCTTCATGCCTTAAAATGGATTTCAGTCAGGAGCACTTTAGTCAAAGAAAACTTTATTTCCATTTGCAGTATTATATATGGCTGTATGGCTCTATTCTGGGGCCTCTCTGGCTTTTCTCGGGCCTACACAGAAAGCCTCTTCCACGTGCCTATGTGGAAAGCATTAAGGCAGAGAGAGCACACCTCCCTGCCCTTCCATGCACAAACAAGGACAGCCTGAGGCAGAGAGCAGACCTCCCTGTCCTTCCATGCGCCTACATGGAAAGCCTAAGGCAGTAGCAAAGACCCCTCAGGAACAGAACAGAGCAGTATCAATGACAAACAGAAATGACATTGATAAGTCAGACACAGCATGAAAAGGAGGAGCTGGGGCAGAGGTGGGTTACAAAGTGGCTTGCAGAGGAAGCAATAAGCAGTTTATAGAAATTCATAGTATCAGGACAAAACCCTTGAGATGTATTATCTTTTTTTTCAAGGGGGTCCCAAAAAGTTGACACGTTTCTTAGGTTTGTGATGTAACAAACCCTGGAAGTCTAAGTTTGTGTTTTGAGATTGCCATTGGCACACTGCAGTTCCAAGGCCCAAATGCCCAGTCTGCTTAAATTGCTAATGACACACCTTATAGCATATAAAAACACCATATGGACATGTTAACCAGGTTAAAAACTTGATACTCAATGGAGATGGTCTTTTATGGTGTATAACCAATGATTTGTGTTTTCAGAAAGGTTATGAGTCAGACTATTTCTTGTCTGAGAACACTGACTTCCTGGAGTCTCTGCAGCTAATGACAAGAGAGAACTGTTTCCTGGCTGTAGTTTCATATTTACTGCACTTAGTATTGCCAATGTTTTCATCTAACTCTCTGCAAGAAAGCAAATAAGCCTTGTCCCATAAAGGTCAAACTATTCCTTTAAGAACTTTATAATCTGATGTAGCTGTGATGTCGAGGTCTGTCATTTTGAGTTTGTTCTGACGTCCAATTTCTGCTCTCTAGTGGTCAGAAATCACTTAAAGCTGCTTTAAGAATGGGCTGAAAAATGGATTTTGATATCCAGCCCTTCTCCTGCCACTTGTCACTGTCACTTTCATTATATCTACTCAGCTTGCAGTTTTCTGTGACGTACGACAAGTGCGATTATGAGGCTTTTACTGCTGGTTCCTGTCCCCTCCTTACAATTCTTCTCTATTATACTGTATATCTCTCTCTCTGGAACTCCATATGTTCCTCTCTTTTCTCTCCTCTTCCTCAAAGTCTCAGCTCTCTATCATTATCATCCTCACCTGTTAAGCTACACGGCTTGAAGAGCCTGATAATCGATTCAAAATTATACCCTGTTACCACAGCCTGTCAGAATGGTGGACAGGTGAGCAGACACATGATGTTAAAGATAGGAACTGGGGGGTGGAGCAAGTATGGAAATACTTGACAGTGACACAAGTAAAAAAGGGGTTCCAGCAATGTAAAGAGAGTCAACAAGGTTCAGACAGAAAGAGTGATGAGACGTGACGAGAGACAGAAAAGGAAAAGGAGTGGACGTGACAATAAAGCCATTCAGCAACACTGTCTCCACTGCAAGAGAGTAAAATCAATCATTCTTTTTTCCTTGCTGATTGTTCTTATGTGGTCAGTCACTCACCACATATGACTGTGATGTCAAAAGAAAACCTAAAGGTCAAGAGTGTAGAATTTAATGGCATCTACTGTACCAATGACGTTGCAGAACTGAAACTTCTCCTGTCTTTTAGGCAACACCATCAAAAAATAAATACATCTATTTATCACAACTTCTCAAAAACCAAAAGCTTTTGAAAATTTACTATAACAGAGGACAAAGAAAACAACCTTACTATCATAATCAGGCATAATCAGGAGGCTAAAACCAGTGAATTTTAGTTTTTTTTATTAAATGGTCTGCAGGACAAACTGATTATCAAATAGTTACTGATCAGGTTTGATCTACTAATTCATTCACTGACTTATCATTTCAGCTCTGCTTATCATAGAAGGTTTCTAACAAAAACAAATGGCTCTTGAAGATCTATCAGGAGCTCCAGAAAAAGTGGTAGGAGATAACTCGTGTGACATAACTGGGAGTAAGTTCATCACTTAAAACTCAAATCAAAGCAGGAGCCAGTGAAGTGGTTGTAAAAATAATATTAATGATGATTACCAATAATAATTTGCATTTCTGGTTTTAGTCAGAACAAATTACAGGTGTAAAATAGTTTTCTTTAAAACAGCAGCACTGAATAATCCAGACAAGTGGTAATTTGCATGCATTAGTGTTACAGCGTCATCTTGGGAAGGAAAAGGTCGGACCTCTGTGACATTATTCCAGGGATAAATGCTAATTTTATTAATGTTTCCGACATCAGTCTCGACATCCAGGTTACTATTAACCCAAAGATTTCAGTCTGTGATTTTCATTTCAATCAAACTGTATTTAGATGTTGAATTACCATCTCTTTCTCCATCTTTGTTTAATCTCTATTCTTCTGCAGGAAATCATGAGTCTTTTATTTGGGTTGGCAAAACTTGTAAGTGTGGCAGCAGAGCAGAAAGTATTCGGGCACAATGGCGGGAGGAAATATTAAGCATGCAAACTAAATGTTTACTCTATCTTTAACAGGTGAAGGACAAAAGAAGCAGAGAAAACAGACCCATTTTTCCTGACGTTTACCATCTTAGGTTTTTTTCCACATGCACATGGGCATTTTTGAAAAGGGTGTTTTTCCTTCCTTTGTTCTCAAAAAAATAAAATAATGTAAAATAAATGAAACAATTTCTGTCAAAAAGTAAACACAAAAACACAAGTGAAGCACTGTCGAGACCTTGCCAAACTAACAGGTGGCAATATAACCCTAACCCTAAAGCCAAGTTGGCCAGTATCGCAAAGGAGAATAAGATAAGCCTAAAAAAAAAAAAAAAAAGAAGCTATTACCAGAAAGCTAAGTGAAGGAGTGGCCTCTGTAGTACATTGTGATGCCTCTTTTCCTCAATACAGTGGAAGAATAACACTGATGATGGAGAACCAAGTTTCTAGAAGTACAGAGGGAGCTGCACTGATCACGTGTTTCACATGCATGTGTGTAGCCTAAACTAGTTTTCACAAGGATTAGTAATCACACCTCAAAGATAAAATCAGTTTGTCCTGCTAAATGCTTTGTGGCAGCAATTAGACAAAAATAATAATAAGGGGAGCAAACACTGGTGCTAAAGAGCAGTGTTTCCACTCAGGTGTTGCTGTGACACTCAAGTACTACACAAGAGGGAAATGCAGGCAAAGGGCAAGACAGAAACAAATGAATGGGATGTGATAGAGAGGTGAAGAGGACTTACGTTGGCCCCACTGGCCGCTGTTGGGGTTCAGGTAGTTGGGGTACAGCCCCTGGGGTTTGTCCAGGCGATTTAGTACTTTCCGGATGTTCATTACCTAATGAATAAAGAAAAGAGCACACATGTAACCAGTAAACCTCACTTCAAACAACTGTTATAAACGTGACATAATCAATATCTGTACAGAAAAATAAGGTGACAGGTTGAAGAGGCTGAACTGCAGTTTTCATTCCTCCCCATCTTTCTTAGCTCTCTGATATTACAGACACTTCTACAGTGCAAGACTGCAAGTGGAAATCCTGCACACTTGCAACCCATTAACTGTGAAAACACGAATATCATCTCATCTAAGGTGTGAACGTTACCTTCTGTGCAAACTCAGGATTCCCTGAGAGCTTGCTGAGGTGCATGAACTCCAAATGCAGCGTGCCATACTCTGCCAGGATGCTGCTGCCGCCTGATGCCCAGGGCCAGTTCCTACCAATACCACTGGACAAAGATAAAACAAGAAGGAGACAGAGGGTTAGAAAACAGGACAACAATGAGACTGAACCCCAGCTGATGGGTTAAAGAGCCCCACAAAGTTTGACAATTCATCCTTTTCATTTGAGAAACAAGCCAAACTTCTTTTAACTTGTATATATTTTATATTAATTTTTACAAAGACCCACAAGTGCTTTGTTAGCAAAAACACAAGAATACAGTATGAGTCATGTTCGAAAAGCAATTCACAAGCCTACAGAAAAAAAAAACCCCTGCCTGTCTCGATGCTAAACTGACAGCTGAAAAGAGGCGATAAATCCTCAAAAAGTCAGCTTAACACTCCAAGTGACTCAGCAGCTGTACTTTAAACTGTGAAGACTACTAAAATGTTCCCGTAATTTACATGTTATTTTAGAAAGCCGTTTTGCTTCAGTGACATTTACAAATAGATTCTTTCTTTAATGACACTAAAAGCTAACTTCACACTCCATCCGTCATATTTATGGGTGCATTCGTTTATTTTTTTCTCCCACAGACTTGACTTTGGCAGCTCATCTCATCCTCTATCTGTCAGTCAGTGCTTGCTGGACCCCACCCTCTCCCTTGAGTGTAGTGGCGATGACGTTGCCTTGACTGCATCTGGCTATATGTGAGTGTTTCCAACCTCTGGCATGCTTGACAAGGACAGAAGACCCAGCAACAGGGTGTATACTGTATGTGTGTGTGTGTGCGTGTTGGATCATTAGAGCCACTGACAGATCACTTCCAGGCTAAGGACTGATGACTCTGGTGGCGACGCTTCAAGAGACTACTCATGAATACATATTAACAATTCACTACACTGTGAAACACGCACCGGGATGTGTGCGCTACACCAACTACATGTGGACACGAGCCACACACACACACACACACACAGGAGACATCCAACAAATGAGGAAAAAAAAGAGGTGGAGAAGGAGTGTGAATTGGGAGAAGTGCCATATACACACACACATTGCTTCAAAGAGGTGGATGAACATACTAATTATCCCCCCCTTCAACTCATCATGCTGCACAAGCCGTAATTTGTTTCCCATTACACCGTGGATTTAATCAAGTCAACCAGACACCGAGAGGACCACCACAGCATCAGGCAGCCGGCAAAAAGACAGAGATCAGGGTCAGAGAACACAATATGCGGAAGAAAAATCCCATCACTGTAGACCTGATTAAGTTTGGAGCTGTGTTTGTTAGAGTAAAAGTTTTAGTGTTCCGCTACTTCCAGGAGAACATTATTCCTTTATCTCCACAACACTCTCCTCTTCCCCTCGGTCAACTTGTACGCTTGATCTGTCTATCCATCTTTTGCAATCCTTTTAGAAACCCTGTGATGAACGATAAATCCCTTCTCCTGGTAGGGCGGAGGCGTGGAGGTAAACACACACCTTTCCAGCTCACCCCTGTCCAGCCCAATCCCTCTCAAAGCCGTGCTGTGAGACAAACTAAATCCCTGTTAAGGAGAACAAAACAAAAGACAGCAGGGAAAAGCTGCTGTGTAAACCAAACAGACACAAACCAATGTGGGGCAGATAGAGAGTAGAACTGTGGAGACAGACGGATGAGGGTGTGTTTAGAATATCATTAATCTGGCCTGGGTGTCTCTGTGTTTCAGAGAGATAAATTCAGCATCATTTGAGACCTCTAAAGCCGGCTGGACCTTAATTAGAAAATGGGGAAGTTTTAAAAATCAGGGCTGTCAAACCCAGTCTACTTGTGTGAACACAGCTATTTAAGATATTAAACTATTTGGGAAAAATGGGGTACTATAAATTGTAATTAATAAAATATAACTTTTCAAAGAAATAAAACATTCTTCATCTTACAAATACAAGCTGCATTCACCCTTGACCCTTCAAAACAGCAGCAACAGTCTTAATTAGCCCAAAATTACCATTAGCAAATGTTAGATAGATAATGCCATAACTTGTGGTTATGGTTCAGCCAAAGTTACACAGGCTCACTTTAAAGGAATACTTTATCCTCAAAACAACCATTTATATATCAATATTCACCCTGTGTTACATTGAATTTGTGAGGAAAACTATGTCTTTCTCGCTTGCCGCCATGGTGAACGAAGAATCCAAAAACTGATAAAATTCTTGATGAATTTAACTAAAGGGTACCATGTTTAACAACACCAAAACATTATCAAAACATCTGTTTCGAAACTCTCACACAACTCATGCAGCATTACCCAGGTCTCATTTATCCAGTCATATGCTCAGTACTTCCCAAACACATGCATTTTCCCTAAAAGCTTACAATGACAACATTTCCCCAAAGGGTAGTGTGTCTGGGCAAGCACAAGCATTTGAACGCTGCTTGTGTATTCCATTAATCAGAGTTCAAACATACCACCCTTCCACAGGCGCACTACTCGTCCATGCTTGAGACTTTTTATGTGGAAGTGTTTCAACAGTAAGGTTTTACCAAAAATACATGTGTTTGGAAAGTACTTGTTTTGCTGCTCTTTAATCAGCAAGAATTTTCTTTGTTTTTGGATTCTACGTTCACTGTGGAGGCATGTGAGCTTAATTCTTCACAAATTTAACACAGCACAGCCGGAGTAGCTAAAATTGTGTGTGAAGTATTCCTTTAAGGCAGTGGTTTTCAACTGGTTGGTCCGGTCCAAAAGTGCATCACAAACCCAAAAAACATCAATAAAGAAATGAGGGTTAGTTTGAAATAAAATGCATCGATTTGTCTGAGTCCTTCCTGTGGCTTCTTGCAATAACAACCCACAGTGAGTGAACTGTGATTCAAATAATACATTAATGCTGATAACAACACTGGGTCAAGGAGCTGCCTCTGCTCCATCTTAGGTGAAATGAACCTGCTTCAATAGCTACTAAGAAGCATTCACGTCTGTTTTCTAATGGAAACTCTTTGTTGTTTCAGTCACTTCCTGTACTGGCGCTGGAAACTGGCAGTTATCCACTGGCGTACAGCACAGTACAACTATATTAGTCCATCTGATGGGAGTCTACTGTTGTGTTTGACTACTGATGCGGATGTCCTGGCCCAGTTTCCAGAGCACTGTTACCAACTAGCATGCTCTACATCCCTTTTCTCACATGGGATGTGATGAGACTTATTACAAGCTCTGAGCTATAAAAACAGTGTTTGGTTTATGACCCCTCCTTGCACTGCAGATTATACTGTAATATCTTTAAAAGAAAAATACTGCACAGCTGGTCAAGGTTTGAGCTCCTTTCCTCACATAAGCCACAACTGGCTTTCAGCATCAATTTTAAGAAATTATTTGGCAATAACATCTACTGTTGACTGTGTTTTTCAATCTCAGTTGGCTTAATTTTCACAACAGTCAGGGGTATGAAGATTCATATCAGAAGCTGGCTGAATATAAAGTCTCAGTTTGTTGAAGTCAATTTATTAACAGGAGGCAGAGTTCTGTTTCTCTCTCTTTGTCTGCATGCTTTAAACCAAACAGTAGTAATGTAATGCAGCACACTGAAACACATTCAGATTGGAAATGTTAATTAAATGTTGGTGACCTAGAACCAGAGGACTTTTTAGAGAGCTTATACAAAGCTCAGACCAATGCATCAACGCTGATATTGAACTTTCATTATAAATCAAGAGATCAGCTGACAACATCCATCGCTGATAAGACTGATGTGATGCAGTGTGTTTGGCTAATAGGTGTCCATGCCCATAGATTTTAATCAATTTCTGAGCTCATGTTTCATCCTGTTTCATAACCCTTATCAGGAAGATGTGAAATCAGGCCAGTAGCAATTAAATTAATGGTGTTTTTGGTTTAGTCTTACCAATACTGTTCGTTGTCATGCGCTATATTTTGTTAGTTTAAGAGGACGATTCACCCATCCCAACAGGGACCAGAAATACTTTCAAATCTCCATGCCATGACACCTGGGAAAAACCTGGGAAAATGCCATCTGCTTAGGAAGACCATAAATGGACTCTGTTCTTTTAACTCATGTTTGTGAGGTCACAAATTAAATGTCAATCTCTACATTTGTCCAGTGTCATGCTGAAACAAGTTTTGAAAGCGAACAAACTCGAGGTTCCCAACTGGTGTAGTCACAGGGTCCAGATTTCTCCTCAGTCATTACTTCAATGTCAACAAAGTTTAATATATTCTGCATCATACTTGTGTTTGGACATGTCATCAAGCTAGTTTGTCGTCTCTGTCAAGTGGCTGTCAGTTAGTCTCTCACTCTACAGCAGGAAACGGCACTTCAAAATAAAAGGTCTGTGCTATAAATGCACTTTGTACAAACTTGACACACTGGCGAGTAACTTGTGGTCCATTTAATAATGGACCCGCGACCCATCAGTTGTGAACCACTGCAGTAGATGGCGGTTGGCAAACAGACAGTTTGGAGAGGCCTGCAGGAGTACTGCCTGTGAAAGCTAGGCAATGTACTGCTGTGGACAGAGGTAGCCACCTATAAAAGGGCCCACACCATAGACTCAAACAGTAATTTGAATGATTTGTGGTGAATGAGTGATGTTAACTGAATTTAAATTTACCTTTTAAAACACCAAAGTCACACAATTACACAAATAAATTGATCAAGGCAGTGGTAGACCAGCAGCTCTTGTGTTCTGCAAGGTAAAATTACTGTTTTTGTCAAAGGAGTCTGGTGGCTTTGAAGAGAGCATAAATGGTTGTAGAGTCTTGAGTTCCTCATTGGAAAGGGCTGTCCGATAGCAAAGACAGTGAAAATATTTTAGACTGATAATGACTTTTTAGGTGGTTAAAATACATTATGCTGCTGCCCCCATCCACAGCAGTACATTGCGTAGCTTCCGTCGCAGTGCTCCAGCCTGCTTCTCCAAACTGGAAGTGTGCCGACCGCTGCTACTGTCAGTATTATATTTACTATGGCTAAGTATATCATACAATGCCACTTCAGAAGATGCAAGCTATGCCTTTAACTGGAATCAAAGTGCAGATGCAAAATAGTTTACTGAGT